GGGGGGGCGAAAAAAACTAGGAGCAAACAAATTTTGATTTGAAGGGGGGTTCAGAGGTACGAGAGAGAAAGAGACGGAGGGAAAAGAGAGAAAGAAAGAGAGAGAGAGAGAGAGACAAAGGAAACTAGTATACGAGATAATAGAGGGAAAAAACTGAACAGGTGAATATAATGACAGACAGATAAGCTACTGCTAGAACAAGTACGGTACAAGTACGGTACAGGTTAACATTAGAGTTAATTATGTACGTTGACTCAAAGCGACACAGCTAGAAGCTTCTGGTGAGGCTACGGAGTAAACACAATTCGTACGACTATGTACTTTGTTTTTATGTATCGAATATATAATAATACGATATATGATATATCAATACGTATAAATATATATACATATTTATATATATGGATATATACATATATGGACATTTTGTATATGCTGCTGAAGAGGCCAGGAGTCTGAGAGAGAGAAAGAGAGAAAGTGTGTGTGTGTGAGACAGAGGGGGGGAGGATGAGCAAGAATGATAAAGTGAAATCGTACACAAGAAAAAGAGAGTATAAATTGATAAGAATTTATGTACCATTATCATTGAGTACTGAGCTGTGATAAATGTATATAGTAATACAGTAAAGTGGTGGTACTAGGAGTAACAGTAGGGTAGTAAATAGTGGTAGCAGTATATGGCTGTAAGTATATATACTATATATATATATATATATATATATGTAAAAAATAAATAAAAATAAAAGCCATGGGAGCACCTGCTGTCAATTGTTTAACTCTGTCGAAAATAAAAAAAAAAAACTCGTGTTACTGTTGCCGTTAGGACTTTCTGCTTGTTTTATTAAGTATACAACGAGATGCGCTGCAGCAGCCCAGCAAGCCTCTACGGTTCTACAGAGTGTATAGTAATATCACATAGCGGATCATAATGTATCACCCTGAACGTATCCAAGTTGAGTAGCCAGTATACCCAGTTTACATATGGTACGTGAACTATGCGCTCGTAGGCGAATTAAGGGATTGAGTGTGATCCAAAGGTACTGATAATTTATAGGGATCAGGAACTATACGTTTTATGAGAAGGTTCGATGGGATCAGCTGTGTAGAAAATCTGCGAGCGGACAGATTCGGATGGTATGTAGGCCGATTGTGCACGTAGGAGCTTGAAGACTTGTGAATGGGTAGAGAGAAAGAAAGAAAGAAAAAGAGAGAGAGAGTGGGACGGAGTGTGAGTCGAGTTATTAGATAATATCGAGTTGGGAAGGTCGGGGGAGGTCAAGCGGTCAAACTTATTGAATGTGAGAATATGGGTAGAATATTTAGCAGCATTGCCAAACCTTACCCAACCAACCACCCAACGACCAATGATCAGGCCGAACGATTATTGACGATTTCTTGGATGAAAATTTTACCTAATGATTGATTGAACGAGGCTTGACCCTCTTGCATCTGACCTTTGCGTCTGATATGAGCAGACTTGGTTGATCTGAATTTTTGTTTTAGGATAACTCAGGATATTTAAGTACCATGCAACAGGTATTACTATTTGCTTAATATCGTTGTTCTTTTTCTCTCGTGAACATTCATCGCTAACATTTGCCGTCCGTTGAACGTAGCGCGCATGCGCGCCAGCGTTTTTCGTTTTCTTCGTTTGCTCATTTCGCGCTACTCAATGTTTACGTATCGTTTTTTTTGCAAACTCGGTCGACATTCGCCTTGGCTTTCTTTCCTTTTGATCGAAGGAGAGAAAGAAAGGAATAAAGGAGCGTAGCTGAGAGTAAGAGAGAGGGAGACAGAGAGAAAGCAAGACAGACAAGACTACAGAGTAACAGGTAGAAAGTGTGTGAGAGAAAGAGAGAAAGAGTGAGAGAAAGTAGATCGGAGTGTTGGAGTTGCTTAGATTATATAACGTATTCTCGTATAATCGTATTATACAGTATATGGTAATATATATTTTGCCAGAGGGTATAAGGATATATGTGATCCGAGTTTGTTTTCGGTTACGTAACCATTCGAAAAAAAATTTCTTTCAATTCCCTGAAATCTAACGTAATCGGAGTTTGAGTATTTTCTTGTTCGTACACACACACATATATATATACATACACACATATGACTACGTGGAAGGACATTGACATCGACACGCACGATAATCGAAGATCGATTTTCTATGTCGATAAGATTTCGATGTATACGCAGAATCTAAAATATATAATATATATATATATATATCTGTGTATATATACAATACATGGTTGAACTGTTGCATATGGAGACTCTTGTGGAGAATAAATCTGGGCTTATACATGGGTATCAGTGAGTTCGACTGATTGAGCGAACAGTGAGTGGGTAGGTGGATGAATAGGAGGTGGGGTGAATGGGTGGCCAATGAGCGTAGAAAAGTGTTCAAATTGAGGTTTAGAGTATCGGTTCACTCACCTCCCTGGTCGTCGAGTGCGACCAGAGTGCGGATGCCAGCCTCCTTGCTCTACGATTGAAAAAATGGAGGCAGCACAACACACACAATCACCGCCAGTGTTAGAGAGTCAGTATAATATTAGTATTTTAGTATATTAGTATAGTATAAGAGTATAGTATAGTAAGTATTAGAATCGGTGGTATCGGTTGGTATCGTTGCATCCGATATTGTTAACTATTTGGAGTCGAGGTACATCAGACAGGCCGAGAGATACAGAGAGAAGGTGTCAGATGAAAGATCAAGACAATAAGAGAGAGAGATAGAGAGAGAGAGAGAGAGAGAGAGAGAGAGAGAGAGAGAGAGAGAGAGAGAGAGAGAGAGAGAGAGGTAGGGAGGGGGAGAGAGAGAGAGAGAGAGAGAGCGAAGGCAGAAATC